TATTCTATTCTATTCTATTCTATTCTATTCTATTCTATTCTATTCTATTCTATAAGATATGAAGGTGACACACTTTAATTGGCAACTATAGGGAAAATCTTGTTTTGTAATGTTTGAAATGTGGATATAGAGTGAAATTGTACACAGGACAGATAAAAGTATAAGTATTTTGAAAATATGAAAAGCTTGAAAAGGATATGTTATAGATTTAGATATGAATGAGAGAGTTATAAAATGAGCCTGACGGAAGTATTTGAGGGGGAAAATTAATAAAGGATATCTAAAGTAGTGATAAGATATGAAATTGAAGATGAAAGATGAATATGGAACTGAGATTATATCTGTATGGAGATGTGAAAACCTGGAACCAAGCTGTTCCACTAAAAAAAGATGTTTTTATTTTTCTTTGTTTTGTGAAAACCGAAATAAAATTGTTTAGAACAAAAAAAAAAAAGGAAACACGAGGGTCGAAGTTGCCACGTTAGAGAGTTGAGATCAGGCTTCCCCAATCTCTGAGGGTTCGTGGCCCAGAGAAGGGAGGGAGATGGGATGGGTTTGTGGGAGGGGCAGGGGCATGCGAGGGCGAGGCCACGAGCGCGTGGGATGATGCTGGAGCGAGCAGGGCCGTGTACGTGCACATATGCGTGTGAGCACCGTCGAGCTGCTCCGTGGCCAATATGTTGCGCCCCAGTAGCAAGCTGCAGCCCGCAGGTTGCAAGCCCTCCCGCACTGTCCCGACGTGGTCCATTTATTCCACACTTCCCTGCATCTTCTCCCCTTTAGACTCGGCCGCACCTCGTGAGTCTGGTCCCTTCCCTTCTTCAGCCGAATGTGAGCCAAGCGGTTGAGCTTCTTCAGAGTCATGAAGTGGACGCAGCTCTGGATGCGTCGCTCTTCGATTTCCGCAGCCTGGAAAAAGAGAACGAGGCGTGAGTTTAAGGAATCCTGGGGCGTGGATTCGGAAGCTTGGGGCAGCGCAGGGATGAACGCGCTCCGTCGCACGTGGAGAGGGAGGCTGGTTAGAGGGGGGGGAGAAGGAGGGTATTCGCTATTTTTCCTCCCCCCCCGACTATCAGCTGTTCTGCTGTGCCAGGAGATTTAGTTTAGCTAGAAAGCAGGAAATTGTTACATCTCCTGCTTTCTAGGTAATCTAAAAGCAGAGCTGAACCTTCCTTAGGACCGAAGCTTCTATTTTTTCAGTGCAGACTCAGGTAGCAGATGGCAGAAAGGTAGATCTCTGAATGAATCTGTGGTTCTGCGAGCAACTCAATCTGCCTGTCTGCTTTGCCTGATTTTGGGTAAAAGTTGTTCTTTTTATTATAAAAAAAGCTCAATATTTACATAAATATTTATAATATTTACATAAAAGCCATGCCCATTCAGTCACATGACCACCAAGCCACGCCCAGTCAGTCACATGACCACCAAGCCACACCCAGAGAACCGGTTGTTAAGAAATTTGAATCCCACCCCGATTAAGGCTCAGTTGCGGTCGTACGTCGAAGACTACCTGTATTTCCCTGGGAAGGTTGGGGGGTGTTGTTTGATGACATGCGGTGACTTACGTTGTCCTTGTGGCCTTTGCTCTTCAGCTCCTGGATTTCTGCCATCAGCCTCTGAAGATCTTGGCAGGTCTGTTTGTAAAGTTCATAATCTCGGTTGGGGTCCCGCAGTTCCACCTCGGCCTCTTCGCTGTAATACCTGGTGTCCTATGGAGAGGAACGGAGGAGGAAGGGGAGGCAGGTGAACTTGGCACGTGGTTGTCGATTCAACCAAGCAGCCGCAGAGGAAAAATGCCTTGGTCTGTTCTTCCTGCATCGTCCTAGGAACAAAACCTCCACCTTCCAAGTGGGTGCTGCTGCTATAGGTTTAATCACCAGCTTTTAAGGTTGGTGTAAAACTCATAAAATATTTCTCTGGTCTTTTTAAGAGTTGCCAACAGAAAGGGAGAGGGGGAAAGAGCAGTGTGGGCAGCTTGGAAATCAAAAGTGCATTCCATACATAGTTTTTCAAAGATAGTTTCTAGGTGATGGAAGTTTTTACCGCACAAAATTCTAACTGGAGAGCATGATTGATGACTCCTGGCTATGGATGTGTCCCATTGGAGAATATGAATTACGATACACCCAGGGGGTGGGGGAACACCAGGGTCTAGGGTGACGATGAATTATGTGTCTGAGTCGGCTAACTGTCAGGGCTCCAGTAGTTACCCCCATTTTAGATCATGAGTTTCTAGCCGGATTTTCAAACGTAAAGATTTATTAGGAGTAAACATGCCTGCAATAAATTTGTTTTTTTGTGTTGTACAGGTCACCTTCAAGAAGTGAGGGGAGCCGAATGTCAACTCATAAAATATTCCTGTGGCCTTTTAGTGTTGCCAACAGAAAGGGAGGGGGAAGCAGTGGGCAGCTTGCATTCCATAAATGTTTCAAAGATAATTTCTAGGTGACCGAGGTTTCTGTCACGCAAAATTCTAATTGGAGAGCATGATTCATGACTCTTGGCTATGGATGTGCCGCATTGGAGAATATGAATTATGATTCACCCAGGGGGTGGGGGAAAACCAGGGTCAAGGGCGACAATGAATGATGTGTCTCAGAGTCGGCTACACCCAGGCAGGGCCGGCATGTCTACTCCTAATAAACCCTTCTAAAGTTTTGGAAGTTTGGCTCGAGAGTCATGATTTAATTGGGGTAATTGCCGGACCCCTGACAGTTGGATCCCTGGGTGGGCCCTCCTCCTTTGTCACGTACCTCCCCCCCCCCCACAGGTTTTGCAAAGAATCCTCCTGCACACTTTACCTGATCAATGTCCGATCTGCTCCGCTTGCCTTCCTGCGGCCCTCCATCCATGCGGATGACCTTCGGCTTCCGCTTCTTGCTGGATTCGGAGGACATTTCCTTCGGCTTTCCTGGGGAAAAGGAGATTGTCAGAAGCGGTGGGTGGGTGAAGCAGTAGAAAGCTGCCTTCTGCAATTGACAGGTGGCAAATGTGTCAATGCCACTGATGGTGTTCAAGTGGTGCTCCAGTTGTTTTGGGACTGTGCCCAAGGCGCCGATGACTATTGGTACTACCCTTGCTTGCCTTTGCCGTAGTCATTCTATTTCTATTTGTAGGTCTTTGTATTTTGTGATCTTGTCCAGTTCTTTCTCGTCTATTCTGCTGTCTCCAGGCACGGCCACATCCACTATCCAGACTTTTTTTGGTCTTTCTTATCGACCACAACTCTTAAGTCCGAGATGTTACGTGGGAAGTGCCTGTCTGTCTGGATTCTGAAGTCCCAGAGTAATTTAACTTCTTCATTTTCTATGACTTTTTCTATTTTAGGGTCCCACCAGTTCTTGCTTACAGGCAAATGATATTTCTTGCAGATCTTCCAATGCACCATTGTTGCTATTAGTATTATTGTTGTTTTGTTGTTGTTATTATCATTATACTTTAACCCCCCCTTGTTTGTTTCATACTTTTTATAGAAGTAAAAATCGTGGCTTTATATGCCTAAGGCGGGACTAGAACACCCAGTCTCCCAGTGATTGGTCCGAAGTCACCCAATTGGCTTTCTATGCCTAAGGC